GAAGCACGTAAAAATCTGGAATCTAAAGGTCTTGAATGTACAAATCTTGAAAAATAATTACTAATACAGTATTAAATGTACCTATTCGTTTACAGCGTGTTACACACAAAACGTATAGAGTCGAATTCAAGAACACCGAATGAGACCATTTAATAAAATATGTAACACCCAGCGTTCGAAACACCCGCATATATCCATCCACTGCGGTATTATTAAATTAATTATCAAGAAAGCATCTGCCCTTCGTGTACAATCTTTATTTTTAATTTTTTTAATATCATCATACAAATACAATAATAATAATTTTGTTTCGGTTTTTACATGAATATTAAATATTTTGTATTATAAGTGTGCACCAAGTACCTATTCCTTGTACACCACATTAAAACAGTGAATCTTCGTAAGATATTCGGCAGTGTAGTCTCTATAAGAAATAACAGTATAATATTATATATTATATTTAAAGAGTCCGTCAAATTTAAGCGCTTGTCAATATTCAACGTTTTGAAAATATTCTAAACAAGATCCAAAAATCAAAATCGTAATTTACTTAAAACTAAAGCCCAACTTTGTAATGAAACCCTAAAAAAGTAATTAATAAAAAAAAAAGTCAAAAATTGATAAAATAAAAATAATAAATAATACCTAACCTATATAATAGAGCAATAAAAGCAATAAAATTGCTCTCAATGTAAAAGCCACACATATTACAGAAAAGCAACAAAATATTAAAAAATAAAAAGATTAAACTATCTTTATAGTATAATCTTTTATTCTATTATCTTTATCTTATAAGATTAAATACATATCTAAGGAATATACTGTGACAAAAACTGAGGCCCTTAAAGTTTGAGGCCTGGGGGCCATGGTCCCGCCTGACTCTCTTAATCACAATATATAGGTATAAAATCATTTAAAATCCAATTAAGCAAGACTACCCGCCCCTGTTTGTACGAGGACAGTTATAAAACGCATCGATTCGCATACTTTTATGTGGTGAGTTACATTATTTATTTGTCAACACAATTTCAAAGGCCGACAGTACAGCCCTCAATATAAGTACAACACAATAGTTTATGATGATACAAATTGAAATATATATATTAAAGATTCTGCGTGGTGTGGTGGATGGGTTTTCTAATACGTTATAGTTTTCCACTTATGTGTTTTTCGGTTAAAACTTTTCGGAACATATTATAGCAAAAATGCTATAAATGGTTCACAGAGCTCAACTTTACAGGCATGCTTTTCGTGAACACAGGTGCAGTTACTATAGAAAATACGTATTTCAAATTTTCTAATAAATATAGAATGGCCTAAATTTGCGATAAACCGAACAAACTGCATCACAGCATCAGATAAAAAAATATATGTACGTGTTTAAAATGTTAAAAGAATTCTGCAATTTGTATTTGTTTACAAATGTATTGAATATGTAGATATATCAATAAAGTGTAATGAATCGGGTTATTTAATCATAAATTGTATTACTTTTTCCTATAATTTGGTTTAAATTTTAAACTGTTATACACTTTTTACAGTAAGGTTCTTATCCGATATGGTGACCCATCAAAATATCTTAAAAAATAAAATATCACCGTTTCGATATCTTCGAATAATGTTTTGTTTATTTCTATTACCCAATCACTCTGTATGTAATCGTCTGCAATAAATTAAATTATTTTTGCGTCAAATCATAGAGATCGCATAATTTCCGAGTAAACTTTGCGGTTTACGCCCTCAACCATCCGTTTACACCCACAGAGAATACTATACTGAAATAGCCAAATACAATTACTACACAAAGTTGGAAAATTGAACTGTTAAAAATGATGACATAAAATAATTAAAATTCGAGTTTTAATGTATTACTTTGCTATCTAGACACACCAATCGATAGCAAGACGAACATTAAAACGGTGATGCGATTTATGAATACTGAATAGATATATGATTGTATTTTGATCTGCAACAAAAACGAAACGCATCACAATCGCGAACATGTTTCGAATAGAGAAATTGTACATATATTATTGTGACATCGGAATAAAAATATTATATTAATAACCCCAGCTGTAATACGGTAAAACGACAGTTTGAACAACACGTCGTATATTATAGGAGACAGTTTGAAATATGATATCATCATCGTGTAGCCGATGTTATCTTGAAACGTAAAGTACATAAAGGACATAATGTGCACGGCTATAGTTTGTGGTTCAAAATATCACGTTATGCTGTGTACTAATGCCATCAGAAAATAAATAAATCGAGATACCAAAGTACGTAGAATATAATAAGTTTTTCGAACGGAGCATGGAAGTTATTGGTATTTGATTTTAGATTCCGCTACGATAATATGAAGTATGCCTATTATCATTATTTTAATTTCTTTCAACAACTTGTCTACCAAAATCCTTGGTCCGATCATAAACTTTTAGTGGAGTTTCTGGTTTTTTTTTTTCTCGTTGGGGTATTGAGGTCATGTTTTTATTTTCCATGAAGTTTTCTCAATAATGGAGAAACCCATGAAGAAACGTAGGAAAAGTGGAAAGATGTACGTTATAACCGATTCTGTTATTTTTATTGTAATACAGTTAAAAATAATTATAAAGACTTGACATCGTGCATAATAGTATATAGGATAATTGCCTACCGGCTACAGTTTTATAGTCGGATGTAAGATACAAATCGAACGCTACCTAGTAGGATAGGATAGTAGCTATACCTTGTAGGATATTGTAAAAAATACAATTTTTACGCATCATCATTGTGCTTTATGTCGTTGGTTTTCGCGTTTGTATAAATGAACTATGAAGTATTATAATTTATAACTGACATGCCAATATTTTAATGATAATTTTTATAATTATAATTTGTTATCCGCCATTGTTTTTGATACGTTAAACTTTACTAAAACCAAGTTAGGAGTATGTTTGGATAAAATGTATTGTACGTACTATGTAATTTTATATTATATATATATATGTATGCATATGGTATAGTATGCAAAATGTAGGTACATAGTTCTATAATATATAGGTAATGCTCGTGCGTTTGGAGTTTCTTTTTTAGTGGTAAAGTAATGGAGTTTCCATAGTTTCCAATGTTTCCTTATAATATATTATTATATGTCGGTAGTCTATGCGCGCGTATAAAATGTATTAAGAGCAAACTTAAATGGATCTCATGGGTTACAGCCGTCGGTGGATATTTGCATTTACTTTTTCTTTTTCTTTTCTTTTTTGTGTATCGCACAATAAACAGGATCCAAAGTGCAAGAACGATATAGTCAATTTTAAATTCTCCACGCCAACAGCCAATAAGATTGATGATATTATATGGCAACAAATAAATAGATGTGTTTGCGTGATTAATAATGTATTTGAGGTTTTTTTTTTTTTTTAATATAATAATAGAGTCATAAATTAACACGCGTACGTATTTCGTAACCAGAAAAAAAATACAATAAATACACGTCAAAAATCCAAAAATTGTTCTAAAATGCTACGGTAAAATACATTATTTTGAAAACATAATAAACTATAATATTACTTACAAGGATAATACAAATAGGGTTTTTTGGAATTTTATTAAACGGTATTAAATGACAGATTTTTTGTAAAAATATTTTACTCCAATTCAATAATAAATAAATAACGATGAAGCCTACAAGATATATAGTTTTTACTATCGGTAAACACTAGGCACGTACGCAGGGGAGTGTTTTGGATGTTCAAACACCCCCCGAAATATTTAGTTTTTTGTATGATTATTTACTTATTTCATTTTAATGTTATATTATTGGTCTAATTTTCAAAAACAACCACCAAAACTTTTTCTGCGAACTTCCTTAATGGGCACAACCGAATAGTTACTATCAAAATATTCGATAGGGTAACTGGTAAAAATATCCAGATCTAAAATATCTGAGGAAAAAATATCCAGTTTAAAATAACCAGGCTAAAAAAATATCCTAGGAAAAATATTATATTACGTAGATTCTCAATGGAAAAATCAATGCTGTTATCACCATAAGATATTCTCTAAAATAACTCAACAACATTCAATGTTGTGAAAATTCTAAGTATGTTAAAATATCGTCATTCATTTCACTTAAAAATTCAAAAAAATGGAATTTGAATTTATGTGTAATTCAATCGTACAAATGGGGTAGTGCCGGCCCAATATTTTATGACACCCCGAGCAAATTTTTAAAAAGCGTCCTTAAAAATATTCTTTATATACCTACTAAATATCTATTTGTATTCATATTTGTTTTGTTCAAAACTATCTAATTATATTTATAGAGTGTAGGATACAATAGTTTGGACACGACTACACAATTAATTAATATATATGTTATTATTAATTTTATAAAATTTACAATGTAGTTACTATATTAAGTAATGTTAGTAAATATTACACAATTGTCAACAATATTATTATTATTACACACTGTTATTATTTTACGCATTTTTTTTTCTTAATTTCAAATCAGCAAAATTTGTTTTTGCTTCGTTAAATTCTAATTAAGTAACTACTCGTATATCATTTTCAATACTGATTAATGCCGAAATTGTTGAGACGGTCTTATGTCATTATTGATCTTAAGTAAGTTTTTATTAACTTTAACTTACTAAAACTTCTCTCAAAGCTTGCAGTAATTATTGGAATTGTCATCATAATTCTTAAAGCTACCCATAAGTTTGGTAAAGTATCTTGTAATTTTTATCATTAATAAATAATAGGAGGTCCACAGAAGAACTATCTTTTTTTGAGTTCAATGATCTTATAGTCTCAATTTCATTACAGAAATCTATACGATTTATATCACATTTTATTTCATAGCTTAGTTTAATATGTAGATCCTTACACAGTTTTAAGAGATCTTCGTTATTATTGTCTTTAATATTAAACAAAAACCCCAAGTATCATTTAATTCTTTTGTATTTTCAAAACATTCAGAAATAGAAGATATTATTTGGTTAAGTATATTATTATACATGATGTTTGAAGTATAATTCTGGATTTTGGGTGCCTGAAACTTCGTCTTTAGATTTGTGAGCAAATTGTTGTTTTCTACGTCTTATACGAGTAATTTTAAATTTTGGTTCAACATTTAATTGTAAAGATAATTTTTCAACAGGCTGTAAAGCTCTCACGTATCCAGTTGTTCTATAATCTTGTAAACAATTTGTACATCTATCTAAAAGTAAAACTGCAGTCTCCATATCCATTTTTGAACTTTGCATTGATTTACTAACTAAGTTAATTTTCGATAAAACATTTTGCCAAATACACAACATAAATAAAAAATCGAATTTCTCTATTTATTCAATAAGTGAATTAGCGTCAAAAATAACTGAATGACCAGCAGTTTTTTAACTCAGTTCATTCTATCAGTACATCTCTTATTTGTGATATTTCATTTTTAACAGCATTAATGCATTCTATTCGACATTCCCATCTAGTCACACATAATGGCTTAACAGATAAAGATTTAATATTTTTTTTTTTTAAATATACCAACGACCCACAGATACAGAAACAAAATATGAATTCGTTGAATCGCTCCAAAGAAGTTTTTTGACTCGATAGAAGAAGAAACATTATCTTAAACTGCTAAATTCAGTGAATAACAACCACATGGCATAAAAAAAGCTCGAGAATTTGTTCATAATATCCTTGCCTGTAGGCCTTTATTTTTACTCTTCATATATGCCCCATTGTCATATCTCTGACCTCTACAGTTCCTTAGTTCTAGTTTACAATTTTTCAACATACTTATTATAGAGTCATAAATTCCTTCGCCAAACGAGTCGAATATTGGGTTAAACATTATAAAATGTTCTTTAATGCACATTTCTTCTATATCGAAAAATCTTAAAGTAAAAGAAAGTTGTTCAACGTGACTAATTTCTGGAGTGCAATGCAACATAATACTGTAATATGTACTTTTTTTTAACTCGGTCTAGTATATTGTTGCGTGTTAAGTTTCCAATTATACAAATAATTTAATTTTGAATAATTTTTCCACAATAATAAATATGCATTTCATAAGACATGACACGACAAACGTGTTCATTCATAATTAAATCAAATTGTCCTAACAACTCGACAAGACCTAAAATGTTTCCATTATGTGGCGTAAATTATTTGTCTGAAGAACCTCGAAATTCTAAATTATTTTTCCAAGAAAAACTACAATTTCAATTAACCGTTCTAAAACTTTTTTCCGATATTCACTTTCAGAAACTATTTGTTTTTATAAATTTATAAATCTGTATCGATCGATTTATTATTTTTAAGTCTTCAATACAACCATAAACTTGCATACAATCAGTGTCAGATAATTGACATCGATTGTTACGCCGGTGGTGGCGATTACCAGTCATTGTGGTCCAAAGTTGTTGTGGTGGCGTTTCTAGTTTCGGCTGCGCCACGCAGGTTGTTTATTATATTTATTATGATGTATTAATAATAACGGCTGACACTATTAGTAAATTACTATTGCAATGTATATTATTATATTTATATGAGTACATTATTTCGGTTCCTAAAAAAAAAGTAGTACCTAAATTTTTGAGTATCGTTTAAACTCGGCGCTTAGGTTAACCAGCCGGTTTGCCCGTGTCTTGAGTCGGTACTGAAATGGGGTGAGCATGATTAAAAAATCACCCAAAATATTGTATCTTTACAAGTATAAAAAAAGATTATTTAAATAATAATAGCTATTAAAAATTATCGTTATCCCCCTCCCCGATAGCAAAATAATTTTAGCACCATTGGCGAGCATGGTATAAAAATAAAACTTTCAAAGCATTTTATACCTATGTTTATTCCTTAAAATTATATCCGAGATTAATTTGCTTTAGGAAATAATTTCTCCGTCAGTTTCGTGCTGTAGGTACCTATATTTTCAAAATTATGGGCACTGACAGTTTCAAACTCTATTAAAGTTGATGGCTATTAAAGTACATCGAAAAAGTTACGAGATTTAATATAATAAAATAACTTATTATAAAAATATTTAATTATTAAATAAAACAAAATTTCGTTAAAAAAAAGTTTCTTAGTTATAATAATATTATGATTTACCTTACTTATTAAGTAAATATAAATAAATTAAATTAAAATAAACGTTTAAATTTAAAATAAGTTTTTCGTTGAATAAATTATAAAATGTGGATTTTATCAAACTAAAGCCTACCTGCTGAATAATATGTTTTCAAAAGCCGCATTTAAGTCAAAATTTGATCCTAAAACGCTTATACAAAAAAATAATATAATACGTTAAATTTTTTTTTTGACCACTAAGTACAACTTATAATGAACCTCGTATTAAATTTTCAAGTATTTCTATTTAACCAAATAATTTTATTCATATATTACTTATATCAAAAAAAAACTAAAAAACAAATCAACAGCATGTTTTTAAAATGTTACTACATCTAGAAAAAGTTAACATAAATATTATTCTGTACAAATGTCAAGTCTTAACAAAATTAAAACAAAAATATAAAATTGAAAATAATACAATTTATTTCCGTACATTTTACCGTTTTTACCCGGTTTTGACCATTCATTAAGAAAACAAGACAGAGAATCAAAAAAATACTTTTTACAAATTAACTAAACAATATTTTCTCAGAAAAGATACTACTCTTGAAATTTGGAGCAAGATTTCTGGTAGAAAAGAAAGTTGGACAAATGTTAAATAATGAAATCATTAACGTCTTAAATTTGTCAGTTTTTGTTTTACATCTTTTTTCAAATTATTCGAAAAACTGCGAGTTGAAAAATCAAAACATGGCTGTCTTAATTACCAACTAAAACCAAATATCAAATTAAAACAAAAAAACCACTCTAAGCCATTTTTTAATTGGAACAACTATAAAAATAGTTTACAATATAAGACGGGCTTATTGTCTTATTGTCTTATTAAAATAAGTATACCTACATTATAATTATCATAGATTAATAATTAAATGCATTCATTCTGAATATTTTAAGAAGTACTTGAAATACTTTTTTTTTTAAATATATTTTATAAAAAGATAATATACTGACAAGAAATACCAACTGCTTCTAATAACTTTTTATTTTTTTTTTTTCGTCGACGAGAAGCGCTGTCTTTTCTTTCTTCACCCATTTTAGTGGTGGAAATCTAATATATGTTTACTGAATAGAAATGAAAACGTTGTTATTTATAATATTGAAATAATACAAATAAACTGTTTTAGTAATATTATAACGTAGCAATCGATATTCAATCGTTAGATGTTAGATTTTAGAAATATCTATCGGTTTAAAACCGTAATCATTTATCAGTTTCTACCGTACGACGTAAAATTACAATAAAAACATTTCCTAATACGGTTTAACTAATAAATTAAGATTCTCATAACTTAACCTGAGATTCATTATGATATTAATTAATGACTGCAGATATATTCACTTATATTGTTTTAATAATTAATCCATGTAAGTTATGAGTTAATAACAATAAATGACATTAAAATAACAATATTACTAATATAAAAATATAATATAATTTTAATTTCATAAATATAGTGTATTATTTCAGCTAGTCAATTAAAGCTTTTTTAACAGTAATAAAAGGCGGAACCGCACACTCTGGTGCCCTCAAAAAAAACCACTAATTACAATCATGAAACGATTCTAAGCAGAACTTTGTTAACTCGTAAAGTAATAATACGATAGTATTACAGTCACGTTATATTCCCGTGTAGTCCAGAAATCTACACAAATAAAACCAATACCGTCTTTTATTGTCATTTTTTTTTTTAATTTTTTTGAAACACTGTTGGGAATCTAAAGACATTTTTCTCAAATAAAGGACAACCAAACAAAAAATCCACATCTTTTAAAGTACAATTCAAATTCGAAGCGGTTTTACTAATCTGGAAAAAGTTTTTCAGGAGAAAAAACACATCTCAATAAAACTAATGGTTTCTTCGCGTTTCTCTCATAGGTAATTTAAAATAAATTCGAAACGATTATGTTTATTAGGTATTCAAATATGATTTCGGAAAAAAAATCCCACCGTGTATTTTTCAATTATAATTAATGTTTTATACTAAAACGTGTTCATAAAAAACGGTTAGTTTGCACCGATAAAAACGATACATATTATAATTAAATTGAAATAGTAAACGCATTTATTAAAATGTATTATCCAACTCGTATCAACTGCTGCATATTCCTTCTATTATTGCCCGATTTTATTATACCTCCGTTCTATATTCATATTTGAGAAAATATCTATTATTTGATTACCCGAGTATACAATAACGCGTGCACCGTATATATTATTTTAATATTCATGCACGAAAATTTGAATTTAGAGAATACTGCAGCCACGCGTGTTTACTCTGCAACTCCCGTTTAAATCCGACAGCACTTCTGCGAGTTGTCTTCGTCGAGGTTAACATAATATTATTATACATCAGCAAATATAATATAGAATGGAGATTTTATTATGTAAAAACAAGAATATTTTTGAAAAAACGTTTCTGGATAATTGGGTTTTGCTATCTGGTCGTACTACGGGGTATAGTCATTTTTTTGTGTCCCAATTTTTTTATTTTTTTAGTAAAAAGCGTATTTGATGGGGTATCTGTACTGCTGAGATTATAATGATATATCGTGCTGTAATGTTATTATGCTCACACAACACCGTACATCTGTACAGAATTATTAATATTTATAATACAGTGTGACTGTAAAGCCGTAATCACACGTTAATAGTAAAACGTGACAGTCTCTATCATGATAGCCGTTGTCATGAGAGTTGTAATATACTATCATTGTGTGAACAATAGACTATCACGGTAAATACGGGAATACTATTACGCCTCTATCCAAGGATCCGGACCCCCCTCCTCGAAAATGTTTAAAAGTAAACAAATTTTAGTAGTGAATACAGTTTTTTTCACTATATTTGTATAATTGTATATTTTCGTTCAAGCAGTTACTTGAAATAAGATAAATTTAATAATTTTGTATTTTATTTCAAAGTCGTAATAAAGATTAGGACTAATAGTTAAGGTTATCCGGTTAGGTATTTATAGATAAAAACGTCGGGCGCAGAAAATCCAAACTATTCGAGAAGAAATTGAATATTAACATGTTATTTTTTATCTAAACAGTTCTTTCACTGAGTTTTCCCATATCTCAAGCACTCTTTTGAAAATTAACGTTAAACACCAACAAG